ACGCGGATAAAAAATAACTAATACCTTGATGTGTGTCGGCGTAGTATGATTTCTCTAAAATATTGCAGTACCCATCATGTGAAGAAGGAGACACGATCGGGGAAACAAGAGCTTTATTAGCTTGACTCTTCGGATCCCTGCTCGAACACAACACTAGAAACAACAGCAGGTACGGATAGTTCATGCACCAGGGACTGCGGTACTTTTTAGTTGCAATTGCCACTGCGCCCAATCACGGCACTGGCTGGTTGTCGGACTCGAAAACTGATTGGTGCATAAGAGGGGGTGATGATATTCACTGTACATCAGCACATTTGATCACTACAATGAGTGTGACGCAATTGAATGTATCCCGACGCGTAAAGAGTTCGGTCTTGTGAACTTTCTTTGGAACGTCGTCCACTTTTTTGCCATCGCACTCAAAGTGACTAATCGCTGGGAAGGCTCTATGCTCTGAGCAAAGTTTTCTCATTTTAACATTGGTTCCTCGAAAAAAGTTCAAACCGCTGTTTAACCAACATCCGTTATTCCTGCTTTTAAACAGTAACACAGTTTGAGTTGGTTTATAGGTATTACCACACCGATGCGTTTAGAGCTATATTTTGTGTCACATAGGGGTAAAATTCGTGAACGGCGTCAAATCATAGGGCTGAATAGGGGCGTTCTCTCTTGCTCTGAGGGATCTATCTAAAATCCCCTCGGCTGGTAGCAAAGCAATGAACAGTGACCACAGAGATATTGCTGAAAATGCCAGTGATACTTTAATGGTCTTTTCTCGCTTATCTTCATTGTTGGTGTGTCATACCGTAGACCTGGTTAACAGGACGATTGAGACCTGCGAAATTTTGTCTAACAGAAAATCCTGTAGAGGTCCTCGTAAGCCATGTTAAGTTTTGCCTGAAAGAACCAAATTATCGACAATCCACTGCACAGATAGCTTACTTCACCCATAGTTGGCAACGGAAACGCCGGCGTCCTTGGGCGTTTGATATCGAGCCTCGCCGTTAAATACGCTTCCCTGACCTTGAAAGACATCTTACGTCGTTCTACTTACATCTCATTCGGCCGCATAAAAACGACAGATAACTACGGAGTAGCAAAAAAGGATTGCTTACATTTACTTACCTCCGTATTCCTAAAAGTTTTTATCTCTTCGGGTGTTTAGAATACGCGATTCTACGCAATTCAGACATAAGGAATGTCTCCGTTGGTCCACCCGTGTTTTACGGGCCGACATTTTTTAACACTAACTGGAGCCACAGCAGTGTCGGCTTTGACCTCTCACCATCCATCCTGTCCGGTGTAGTTAAGACAGCCCTACAAAGTCTCGCCCAGGACATCCCTCTTCCACGAATTTCTCTGCTGATGGACAGTGACCGTATGTCTTTTACTAACCGCTCTTTCCTTGACCCCAGCGTCCAGAAGATATCTCACATGAATCCTGTCCTTTTATTTTTGTAATACTCCGTTTAAACGTGTTCGTGTTATATGAGATCAATTTGCGTAGTTCAACGCGTATATAGTGTTCCTTGGTGGACTAAATGTTATTAGTTGAACCGCAGTTTCCCATGCTAGTAGGCCAACATTTCGCACCGCTGTTCAGCCGGGATGCATAAGTATGACGCATGCGGCTGCGTAAATAAAGTGTCCATGTGGAACCGATAGTGGCCTAGTCAATAATAATAGGTGGACCAAAACTACTTAGCTTGTCATTGTTGTTTCCAGGGAATTTTGCGTCCCTCATCAATTCCAGGAATGGTCATCCGAAGCTCTGCTGTCTTCTTCAGTACGTCCCCTTCAACAATATTATTTGTCACTCTGCAGTTTCCTGTGAAGGGTCGAAATTGAACCTCGAGACGCAACGGGGTGAACATTTCCAGCAATCGGATTGGTGACACACACACACACGCACACACAACAATGGGATGGGAGCGCCGGCAAAGACAAAGGAGATTGGGAAGACAATTTCTGGTCTATTAGTCATCGTCAGCCAACCTTTCTTAGCATTAGGCTTATCGAACCTAAGATTAACTCCCTCATCCTTTTAGTAAGTCCAAAGCTCTATCTTTGGGACGTAGGCTCGGAATCCCGATCTGCGTTTACGCTGGTTGTGAATAATTCAATGTGGTAGACAATGCTTCAGAGGCCGTTTTTATATTTTGCTTCTTTCGTTGTGTGATCACAAAACCTTGCATGGACAACCGACAGTACTTCACTGCAGTAATCTATCCTAGCACTAGTCTCAAAAAATCCCGAAATTTTTGCCTTGAGAAATAATGTCCTATGTGGCTCCGTGTTTTGGTATTGGGGAGAATCAATTTATCATAAAGTTTACTTAATCTTCCAAGTTTCATGTACGAAACAATAAGCGAGTATGTCAGAGGGTAGAGAGTAACTTTGAGTTGAATTCCATACCTGCGGCTGTCAGAAACCCATATCGAAATGTGCCCCACCCGAGAACGTAGTCAGACTACCTGTCACGAGTTTCCAGTTTCTTGTGCTTAAGGTCAACGCAGGTCCTTCCTTTTGCAGCCGGTGGATGGATTTGCATAATTTTAGATGTTGTGGATTATAGTAGTATATGGGCACTCATCCATCCAACAAAAGTGCTTTTGTATGGGGTTGGCTCACAGTTCTTGGTCCTTTGCTGATCGGTCCAAAATAGAAGTCAGATGACAATGCGGGCACAAACCTTCCGCCAGTACTTCTAAAGGCTACTAGCAACAACGACATCGAAGTCAATGTGTTTGCTAGCCTTAACAAATTTGCCTATACCGACTTTTTAATAGTTCTATAAATGAGGAAAAAGAGGCGTAATCTGTTCGTGGTAGAACTCGTCAATCGCGAGTTATAAGAACATCGTGAATGCACGTTGGTGGCTTGTAAACATTACGCGTTTAGTTTACTGAAGCTGATGGCTTTAAACTCAAATATTCACATTAAAATTTCGAACGAAATTCTAAAGGGTTGTCCAGAAGGAATTTGCTTAATTTTTACGTACCAGTTTCTGAATAGATTAAAAATTCATTGTTGAGAATGGAAGTGAATAACTAAAAGGAAATGGTAATTCTGAAAGCCATTGGTGGGCGGATCCCCACGTAACTGCCCCCCAGAGATAGGAAATCGACGAAACATGTGTCTGGATTTTTATCTGGTACCTCAGCTCGATATATGGTGAATTAGTCTACTTCTGACTGTTGGTTGGCAGTTTGTGAATATGAGGCGGTTATCCGCCGAAGATGGCGAATTTCGGCTCAAATATTCTCCTTCATTTTTGGACCGTACCTAAAAAGAGTTGTAACCAAAATGATTCATTTTAGCTGTGTTAATCAATTCCTAAGGGAATTTAAAGATTAAATAATAACTACGTTTTTTTGCTGGAACTTTAATGGACAGTTGGCAGAATTTTAAGTGCCGCCTTGATTGTGTAGCATCTTAAAATTTGTCTAATCAATCTTCTCCTGTGTCTTCAGCTGTTCACCTGGCAGATCCATTCAAAGGTGAGCTGATTAGCATGTCTGCTTCATCAAGATTTCTGTAGAAATTCAACCTTTCAGCTTTCTGAACGAGATCACGGGCAGATTTGTAGTCCATCACACTACCCAATACACAACAGCCAATGCCACCATCAGCGCACTACTTCTAGACTTGCCGGACATAATCATTTTTCATGTCAAAGAGATTTCCCTACTTCAGAACCTCCTAAATGTGGTATGTTTTGCAGCCTTTGTTTCTCCTAATTCCTCTTCATAGGCCCAAAGAATGAACGTACTCATGCCACCAATCCGCTGGCTAATTTTAAACGGTGTAAGTTCTCCGACCTTTATGCCAACCGAGGGGTAGGGGACTCCTTTACCCTGCAAAAACGGTAATCCCCGGAAGAAAACCGGCAATTTAAAGATGCGGATATTTCATGCAGGGGGTCCACTACAAAGTTGAAGAGAGCCTTTGGTCTCTGCAATTTGCAGTCAATCCTAGGCACAAAACGAAAACGGTTGTTGCTTCGGATCTCCCACGCCAAAATGATGGAAAGTGTTTCAATTTTATAGTCTTCCACCTTGGTGTACTCCATTTCCGATGTGAGGTACGGATTCTTCTTTTCGAAAATCCACTGATGAGCCAAGC